GAACTTCAATACATGGTCATAATAAATACGATAATGCCTAAAAACAGTAATCCGAAAGGGATATTGAGGTTATAGCTATTAATACTAATTTCATCCAGCCAATGGACTATTATTGCCCTAGCATTGCGATGATGGATGGAGAAGAGGAAGGGAAAAGAGAAAAAGGAGGTAGTCATCTAGAAACTAGAAAAGGAAGGGCTCGGAGCCTGTGGCTCAAGTGGCTAAGGCGCCAGCCACATATACCTAAGGTGGCGGGTTCAAATCCAGCCCGGGCCATCAAACAACAATGATGGCTGCAACCAAAAAATAGCCAGGCATTGTGGTACATGCCTGTGGTCCCAGCTACTTGGGAGGCGGAGGCAGGAGACTCGCCTGAGCCCAGGAGTTGGAGGTTGCTGTGAGCTGTGATTACACAGTGTGACAGCTTGAGGCTCAAAAAAAAAAAAAAGAAAAGGAAGTTGCTTTACCTAGTAAACAGAATCACTACATTTTAAAGCTCAAAGAAACCTCTTATTTCACATGAGCATCAAAATTGGATAACCTCTAACATTTCAAGAATGCAGAACCACCACCATGATACAAAGACCCCACGGCAGGCATCCTCAAACTACGGCCTGCAGGCCACATGCGACCCGCCTAGGACATTTATCCAGCCCACCAGGTGTTTTTGCCACCACTGCCTGTCCTGCTCAGCAGCTAACTCATCCAAGGGCCTGCTGTCCGGTCCTCCAATGAATGGTCTGAGGGACAGTGAACTGGCTCCTTGTTTAAAAAGTTTGAGGACTCCTGCCCTAAGGCTAGAAAACCTAGTAAAGGGCCAAATGATCAGAGGTGAAATGAAAAGCAAGGAGAAACTAGATCACAACGGCTCTTTAAACCATTCTAAGAATTGTTTTAATTTTATCTTAAGGTCAACTGGAAACCAATGACATTTTAAGCACAAGATTTATAAACATGTTCAGATTTGCATTTAAGAAAGATAACTCTTCTAAAAAGGAAGAGGTTACCTTGGACTAAGTCTTAAAATGAGAAAAAAGCAAGGTTACTTACAGATAAATAAGATAACCCTTTTAAAGGTACAGAGGCCTGGGAGAAAAAAGTCAGCTGAGACAAACACAAAGTAAACCAACCAGTGCATAATTGCATTTTCAGCCTCTCAAAAATTTACACTACTTGGTGCTAATTTCTTCAAAAATGGCTTACAGACTATTATACTCTAACCAAACAAGATCATATTGCTAGTCTATAAATTACTTGTCTCCCTGATTCACTGCCTGGCTATACACAGAGATCTTTTAACCTCATGGTGGCATGAAACCAGAAACCTGACCTTTCTGGGCAAAACAAGTAACACAATGGAACAGGTAATACAGTGCTCAGAGTTATATTAAATTGACTCCTCAGAGAAGCTCCTGACAATTCACCTAAAGTTCTTTTTTTCTCTCATTGCATTTCTTTCTTTTCTTTCTTTCCACTTAATACAATTTGAAATTCTATATATTACAACTTTTGGCATCTTATTGCCTGCCTCTTCAACTGACTTTAAACACCACATTTTATGTTAACTATTAGATCCAGTACTCAAGACTGGTGTTAAATTTATTTCCAAAGAGCTTTTAAAAACAGCCTCGCAGTCTGGAATCGATGGCCCACACCCACTCTGGGAGGCCAAGGCAAGTGGATTGCTTGAGCTCAGGAGTCCAAGACCACCCTGAACAAGAGCGAGACCCCATCTCTACTAAAAATAGAAAAATTAGCTGGGCATCCTGGCGGGTGCTTGTAATCCCAGCTACTTGGGAGGCCAAGACAGGACAATTGCCTGAACCCAGGAGTTTGAAATATCTAGAACATCTAAACTCTACCTACTAAAATCCTTTCTTCCAGATTTTAAGTATTCAAAATCCCCTAGGATCCTATGAGATACATACTATTAAATACATTTCTTTTATGCTCAAGTATGCTAAAGTAGCTTTCTCTTATTTGCAACCAAAGGAAATAGTTTAACGTGATGTTAAAACAAAGCTCATTTATTAATGTAAGTTGGTTGGAACCTAATCATTTCAATCTTCCTTTAACTGTTCCTGACTTTCTTTTTTTTAAAAATTTAGGGCAGTCATGGTGGCATTATTTCTATAATCCTAGCACTTGGGGAGGCCGAGGCAGTGTACTGAATGAGCTCAGGAATTCGAGACCACCCTGAGCAAGAGCAAAATGTCTCTACTATAAGCTGACCAGATTTTAACATTGGTAAAGTGGGAC